ACAATTACATGAGGTCATTTTACCTATTAGCTATTCATCTTTTAGCCAGTTGTTAAGGCAAACTAGCTGGTTAACATTTTCTGAATGTAAAGCGGACCGTTACTTAATGCCCTACGTTCGGTGAGGGTGGTCTGACGCATGCTTGTCGTAACAGCTGAAGTTGAGGCCCCAACAAAGGAATGCTTGGCATTAAGATGATATTTAAGACTCGAAGTGCTTCGGTGAAACGAAAAGTCCTTCTTGCAGTGTGAGCAAACCACAACATGTTTATTTATTGTCCCGTCTTTGTTTTTTTATTCACGAACTGTCCATCCAGCCAGCCAACGGGTTCTTCTAATTCCTCCATCTCGCTCATGTCGGACAATTGAATTATGGGTAAAACAGGGCGTTAATGCGTAAAAAAAAATATTGCGTTAACGCGTTAATTTGGACAGCCCTAGAATAAACTGAATTGAACTTATTATAGTGAGGAGGAAGCTAAGGTAGGGGGACAAAAAAATCTCCAAAGTTTTGCATTAGAGAAGCTTTGTACCCTCTTCCATGGACAAAGCAATTTTGTTGTCACTGTAAAGATGTCAGTTTAAAATGGGGCGGTGCGGCTTAAAAATCACATTAGAGATTCTTTCCTATCAAGTCTGTTCCATTTGTTTTCTCCCTTACGTTTAATGATATAGAAATGGCAAATGATAATTATTGCTTCCAAAAACTGCCTTTTATTTCAGTCATCCCCTCTGGGAGGTGAGCTTCATCTTAAGTTGAACAAAATTCAAGCTTTGAAACGTGCTTGTAAAACATTCCTGTTTTCAAAACAAACTAGAGATAGACGGATACATATCTCACAGATATTAGAGTTTTTTTTTCATTTATTACTGGCTAATAAATTCATTAATTCACCAATTCATTAGTGCATTTAGCATTTTTTTTTTCTAACACTTGTTATCACTGTGTCATTTTCTACCACATAAATAGAGGATGAGAAAAGCGAAATCTGCTTCATAAGTCAGCCCAAAAAATTAGCAGCACATCTCATTTCGACTAATGTCAAAATAATCATTATAAACTTTTAAAAAACTGTCAGTCAAACTTCAACAAATAATGATGATATATACTGTGTGCGACTGGGAGTTTTACACAGTAATCTAGATGATCAGTTATTAATAAACATAACTCTGAACAATGGAGGCCAGATGAGTTTATTGATGGAAAAAATCCAGATTTTCCAAATATTCAGAGAACATTGATTCATTGATAAGTTAATCAATTGTCCGGCCCTAGTTTGTAGTATTTTCTACCAACTTCAGCCAAAGCATTTCCCATACTGTTCATTAAACCAAAGTAAATTATCAAAACCATGTAAATCCTGGGCTTTTTATTGAAGTTGAGTGAGTCTGTGGCTTTCTTCAAGTTGAACTAGAGAGACAAGATATTGCAGAATACAGATGTAATTTTATAAAAATGTGTCTTCAGGGTTGGTGTACGACTCTCAGATGCTAAAACACCAATGCACATGTGGAGATAACAGCAGCCACCCAGAGCATGCTGGGAGAATACAGAGCATCTGGTCACGGCTGCAAGAGAGAGGCCTGAGAGGGCAGTGTGAGGTAAACCAACACACACCGCTGTGCTTTACTGAAGGATTCTACATCTATCAGTCTGCAAATGTCTGTTTTATTTTCACTTCCCCTTCTTTTTAAGGCTGTTGCACACAGTGAAATGTCCTTGATCTATTTATGAAGAAAATATTGCGTTCTTGCAGACTATCCGAGGTCGTAAAGCCACTTTGGAGGAGCTGCAGTCGGTCCATACTGAGCGTCATGTGTTGCTGTACGGCACAAACCCCCTCAACAGGCTGAAACTGGACAACCGCAAACTGGCTGGTAGGTCCTGTCCTATTCTGGTCCATTTAAGTGTTTAAAGGGACTTCTGTATTTAAGGCTCTATATAAAAATGAAACTGTCATCTCTGCTAATAAAATCTGTGTTCATATGATGTCACTTCCTATTTTTACAGGAATCCTATCGCAAAGGATGTTTGTTATGCTGCCATGCGGGGGAGTCGGGGTAAGTGAAAACACGCATCCCTAATGAATCAATACGCCTCGATTGTGGTGCTGATGAAAGGTGATATTGTTTTAAAGAAAGACAAAAAAAGTTAGGAAAGACTGGAATGAGGGAAGGACATCAAAGGGAGAAAGTAAGCAGACCGGGTCCGGCGCTGTCCTTCTCATGACAGCCCGTATCCAATCCTGACAAGTCGGACTAATGAAAGCAGCATGGCCATGACCGAGGATGAAAAATAGGCCTTGGATTTTCCCTGTTAGCCAGATGGGCAGCTGCACCAGTTATTCCAAGACACACGAGAGGAAACGCAGAATAAATGCAATTATGAAAGACATTCAGATAAGATGGTGATATGAAAGGTAATGTTCAATATTTAGCAGAGATCTCAGTTGAAGGTGTTATCAGCAGTAGTTCCCATAGTTACCTGCAAGTGACGGATGTGGTGTTACCTGATCCACTTAGATGTTGAATGTTTTCTGTTTCAGCTGTTTTAAATAGCTGGAGTCAGATGAAAAAGGCTTTTGTTTGTTTAGCTGTTAGCTCTCCACCTCTCTAAAGGATTTTCCTACAAAGTCAGTGGATTTGACAGGAAACTATTACTTCACTAAACCTCATTTTAAAAAAAAGCAGCTGACCCTTTAAGTCAAATCAGAACCTGAGCTTAGTTTGTTATTGGATGGATGTTATATGAGGTTTCCTGGTTATAGATGAGTGTTAATTTAATTCAGTTACCTTTTACTGACGGACAGGTAGACAATGACACCATCTGGAATGAATCGCATACCTCCACGGCGTCACGGATGGCAGCGGGCAGCGTGGTGGAGCTGACCTTCAGGGTGGCCAAAGGAGAACTCAAGGTCAGACTCAAAACATTTCACTCATTCAGGAACACTGCATGAATCACCACTAGAAATAACTCTCAGTTACTATTCTTATGTTTTCTGTTTATTGTGCCAAAAAAAATAACAATAGAGGAAGTTGGTGACAGTTTAAAAACAGGTTGTGTTTGTACATTACTGCAATTATTGTATTCAATAATACCTTCGTTAAGCTCTTTTATAGACTTTAGGCAGAAAGAACAACAATTATATTCATTTATCGAATTAAAATAAAAGAGAAAAAAAATACAACAGAAACTCTTCACTATTTCTAGCTTACATTCATTGACTTCTTTAAAGGAAATATGTTGTGTATTAAAAACAAAGTTGAGGCCTTTTTGTGTAATAGATAAAAAATAACATTTTAGGTTCATTGACTATTTCTGGTGATTTAATATTGATCCTTAAGACGAGCTTTTAACTGTTTGACTTGTAAAGACTCTTACAGGTAAATATAAAATACTGAAGAAATAAGATTTATTTATTGTTTAAGCTGTTGAGGAAGGTTTGATTGCAGCGTAATTATGCAGTGTGATAAAAGTACTGCTTTAATTAGGAAGACAGTGGATAATACCGTCTTTCTCTCCTGCACAGAATGGCTTTGCTGTAGTCAGACCTCCAGGACATCACGCTGACCCCTCCAATCCAATGTAAGTTTGGCCATAAATTTAACACAATATTCAGCTGCTTCTTCCTTTTAAAACTTATACATACTTTGCTATATTTACACCTTTTCATTGCCCACATAGTGTGTATTACTCCATTTTAAAGCATTTTAATAAGTCTGTGCTAATATCATCATACAGCTCTGTTTTCACTTTTGGTTCGGCAGCTTGACTAACTAAGGAATTAAAAAGCAATGCAAGAAAAAATATGAGCTACTCTAAGAAATGTAATCATATTATGTCTGAGTTCAGAACTTTTATAGGGAAAATTCTGCTATAAGTTAATATCTTTCCTGCAGTAAATAGCTTTCTTTGTACTTAGATTAAAATTATTCCAGATTGGGTAGTCCCTTAATCTATAGCCTTAGAGGAGTCTAATCAACCCCAACTCTATATTTGCAGTTTATTTTAATGCAATAATATTGCTTTAAAACACCATTGAACAATTATTTACACAGTTAAACCATTTAACTTTTGATTCAGTAGTTAATTTGGCGCTCTTGTTTAGCCTCTCACAGTCAAACCAAGCAAGATTTCTAGTTGGGCTGAACTTCTTTTTGAAGTTTAAAGGTTATTTTATGTTTAAATAAGTTTAGGGTGACAATTTAATTCAAGATTTCTTCCCTTGGATCTAAAAAATGTAAAGAGAACACTAATCAATTATCAAAAATGACATATATGAAGGGCTTTTATTGTGATACATTTTCAGCCCTAACAGATATATTTTGCAAAGCATAATTCAATGGCATTAAGTATCAACATAACCAACAGCAACATTTCAGTACTTTCACAAAACTAGATTGTAAAAAATCAAACTTGACTATTTTAGCAGATACAGCCAAAGGAAAGAGGAAAATGCTACATAAATACCTTTTTTAAGTGGTGCAATAGTTGTAGAAAAAAACATCCATCATTTCATTTTCTTTTCAAAATCTATTACATCTTTTTGGGCCATGAAGTATTTACTAATTTTCTGTTTTCTCCTAATGTTTATCTCAGGGGCTTTTGTTATTTTAACTCTGTGGCCATTGCTGCCAAGCAGCTCCAGCAGAAGCTCAATGTTAGTAAGATCCTCATTGTAGACTGGGTAAGATTATTACTATTTATTCTAATAGGAGAGTCAAAGGTGTCCTTCTATGTTACTCTTTATTTCATGAATTGTTTCCTCAATAGGATGTTCACCATGGTAATGGCACCCAGGAGGTGTTTTACAGCGACCCCAGCGTTCTCTACATTTCGCTTCATCGCTATGACGATGGGAACTTCTTTCCTGGCAGCGGCTCACCGGCTGAGGTGGGGGAAATCAGTCAGTGTCTTGTAGAAAACCGTAATATTAAAGGAAAAACATCCGTTCTAATGGTGTTATTTGGGTTTAGGTTGGTTCTGGAGCCGGTAAGGGTTTCAATGTGAACGTAGCCTGGATCGGAGGACTGGAGCCGCCCATGGGAGATGCAGAGTACCTCGCTGCGTTCAGGTACACTTCAGCCCTAGTATACATTAGTAACCATTCAAAATTTTTCCACTTTCCTTGATGGGCCCTTGGCTAGTGCTTGGCTGGTCCCCTACAGTTCCTTTTTCAACATCAAATCTCTGTAGTAAAATATTCTGTCATAAATTGTGGACATTACAATCTAGAGAGAAGCATCATCACCTGGTCGGACCCTGTAATTCAATGAAAGCGGGAAGTCAGAGTAAAAAAAATATGCAAGAGGGGGTCACTCCAGTGGCTGGAAGTTGGAGGGGATATTGCTGGGAGTTGCAGGGAAGTGGGCTGCCATTCAGCAGGGAAGGGCCATTTTAAATGGCTGCTTCCGTATCGGTGCTATCATTTATCCGCCACCTGCTTGCCGCCTTTATTGATCAGTTCTGGAATAAGCCACACACATTTAATTAGAAGGATTTTCTTCATTTCCTTTACATCGAGCCACAACAAACACAGTCTGATCAGAGTCTCAGGTCCTCATTGCCTCTGACGCACTTGTGGCGTCATTAATAATCCTCCTCATTTGGAGAGCATATGGCTGCTCCCAGGGATTTTCCAACAACCTAAGATGTTTTTTCCCGGTAATGCGCTCCAGGACTTGTGTGCGATGGATTGCGGACGTCTAGCTTCCTGATTGTGGGTCGGGTAATTGTCATCGGTGGGTGTTTAACACCAATAAAGTTTCAGCCGTGTGGTTTTTTTGGTCGTCTGCGACATCAAACCTTGGGGAAACTGGGGCAGCTGTGTGGTTACTGGAAAATGGCCGCAGCAATAGACAGACCCACATGTGAATGCTTGTGTTCACAAACATTGCAAACAAACCAAATCTGTTTTCTCAGATTCTTCTGATGAGCCAAGATCTGTATGATGGTTTTTGCTTTTATTGATTATATGTCAGAACTGTTTGTTCTCTCTGAGATCAAAGGAGGATTAATCAATGGGATAGCTTTTAGTGTCCTTGTAAAGCTAGTCTCAGCAGAAATGTTCTGCTCTGTTAGGACTGGCTCCATGTAAAACGAATCTGACCTCCAGCTGTTCTTTGGGCTGCACTGGTAGAGAGACAGAGATTTTCCATGTGGCGGCGCTCCCACTGCCGAGTGTTTCTGAGACAGAGCAGATCACCTGTAATGGCAGCAACAAGAAGTATTCAGTTTTCTAAGTATGTATTACTGGGCTGTTTTTCAAAAGATGATCGAACTATAAGATCAATCTGTTAGCTGTTTACTGTAATTGCAGTAATAGGAGAAAATATTGATTTTATGGAGGCATATTGAATCAATTGGACTGGATGATCTGGTGAACTGTAAAGTTGTGTTGTGAAATAAACTGAATTAAATTGAATATTGGCTGAAAACTAAGAGCCAGAACCATTTTCCAATATCCATTACTATAAAAATGTCCATAACTGTATATTGGTCATTTTTTCTACAGGTGCACAGTTTTTTTATATTATTAAAACACTTTACAGTACAGTATTTTATTGTTTATCTTTTAACTCTTCACTATTATATATTTTATATATTTTTTTTAGATCCATATTTGTGACCATTTTCCTATAATCTTTCTGCTGCTGTAAACACCAGAATTTCCCCATTGTGGGACAATAAGGGATTTTCTATTCTATTCTATACTATTCTAATGAGCCACCTTGTTGAACTCATTAAGCTCCTAGCCCAGCAGGGGGCCCCCTGGAGCCCTCAAATACTATGTATCTTGCACATTGTTTTGCTGTTGTTGTTAAATTATTGAAAAACAATCATTTTTAATTTAAAATATATAGATATGGTCTCAGACTATTGCAAAGATATCTTCCTTCCAGTAAACTATTTGGTTTCTACTGACAATCTCTGGAGAGCAACTGATTTACATAGAGCTGATCTAAACTGCATACAGTAGTACTCAGATTTGAGTGTATTTCATTCAGATTTAATCTGAAATCTATTTAATGTAGCATGCCTTTATATTAAGGCATTTGTAGTCAGTAGCTGTAGATCCACCGTTAGCCAAAGTTACATCCAAGTCTTTTGTTTTTTTATCTGAAGCAGCTTCACCCAGTCTATGCAGCTAACAGCTAAAGCTCAGTCAGCTGGATAGAGATCATCTGCAGACATCAGTTTTCAGATCTTACCACAGATTCCTTTTTAGGTTGAATATTGATTGGGTCTAATAATGCATAGAAACATCTTGCTAGAATGGAAACATCCACCCAAGGTTCTCTGATGTCCATTCAGCCTCCTCCATCCTCCTGTCTACTGTGCCACATGGCTGCTTCCTAACTAAAAAATGCCCTCCTCAGTGTTGTTTTGATGATGCAGTTCACCATGGCGGTAGTGTTTTTAGGGGTTAGTGTTAGTTGTCGGCAACACACACTTTTTTTTTGCATGTTTGCCACCAATTTCTAGTTTGGTCTCATCTGGTTACCTTTAAACCATTAAAAAGCAGGCTGCATTATGGTAACAAAGCTGCAGTTCATTATGTTTCATAACATGACTACATTGATGTACTTAGTATATATTGTTTCTTTAAACCTAGATATTTGTTTTCAGACTGTATCAAACATTACAAGCTTTATGCTATTATTTTTATTTCTTTAGTAAACCATAAAATCCACCTACGTCTCTTTAGGGTTTGGAGCCATTTTATTTGTCGCATTCTCCAACCTTTTTGTGGTTTGCCTAAAACGATCTTTAATGGAATGTTTTTATGAGGAAAAGTTTGTGTGCGTCCGACCTTGAATGAGGCTGCTTTGCTGCATTTTCACCTTATCCTTCACTCCCCACCCCCTCAGTTTCCATCGCGCCAAGCCTCAGCAATAACTGGCACGCTCCCCCTCTTCCTCTCCTCTCCGTCTTATTGATCTTTAATAAGCGTCCCCTCCTCTCCTTTAACCTCATCCCCTCTTTCCATCAGGATTCCAGTAGGTATGCGCTCTGGGGGGACCATGGCAGTTTTTAATGGGTCTACAGAGGTGGGGTTGGGTTTTTGTGGTTAACTGTTGTTTATGAGCAAAGTAAGGGGTGTGCTCGTGCTCTTTCTTGTTATCCCTAATCAGGTGGGCTGAGTTGATGCTTAAGGAATCAAAACTTTTTTTCTGTGTTTGTATGATCTGTGTTTACATCTCTGTGAAGCATGTTTGTACTTTTCTTCTCTGTGCATCCTCGTTCCTGCCTCTGAGCTCATGTTGTCCTCTTGTATGGTGGTATGAAGGGGAGGGAGACCTCCTTAGTCCTGAGGCAGAATAATGAAAGTAAATGGATCCCAGATGGACTGCTTTTCCTCTCTCTCTCTTTCTCCCCGCGTTCAATGACGTGAGGAGAGTGACAAGCCTCTAATGGGAAACAGACCCGCACGCCGCGGCTTTGAACTTCGCAGACGTCGAGCCTCCTTTCACCTCTTAGGACCGACTCGCTTATTTCCCTAACAACAACAGCATTGAGGGAATGTGCATCTGCTTGAGGTCCAGGCGTAACGTCGCCCATGAGAACTGACAGCTCGGTGAAGCGGCCTGTTTTACCTGAGGCACGGCGGCCCGTCCCACAGAGAAACAATAGCACTTTGTAGACGCTGTTTGAGCTGCTGAGTTTGGGATCTGCCTCAGTTTGTGTCACTTGTCAACTTAACGATTCTTTAGATTGGATCATAAATATTTATCTTCATAAGTCTGTCAGCTGAAATGCTGATGATGTCAGACGACATCGCTGGATACATTCATCTATCCACTGCATCATTACATACTATTGAAATGACTCCTAGATCAAGATGCTCTTTCAATAAAAAACCTACTACATTAAAGAGGCTGTTGCAAATGATAGCTCTTAAAATTCGCTTTTTCCTCGTTTAATTTTCTTCCGTTAACAATTCACTCAGATCTTTAGTCTTTGTGAATACCAGGATGTTTGAAATGCTTATTCAAATACAGTAGTAGTGGCTCTTAAATTAGAATTTGGTGCTTCATATTATGTGCAGCAGGGAAAATTTGTCACTATTTTCAAAAACGTGGTGGACAAGCGACAGCTTCCACTCACTAATGGTAAATGGCTACTTATATAGCACTTTTTCTAGTCAAGAGACATAATCAAAGCGCTTTCAGCCATTCGGTTGTTATCGCACACATTTATAGTAGCAAGCTGCATTATAGCCACGGCTGTCCTGGGTCTCACTGACAGAAGCAAACACAGGCGCCACCGGGCCGTCTGAACGCCATCAGTTGGCAATTAGGGTGACGTGTCTTGCCCAAGGACACAGCGATTTGAAAGCCAGAGCCGAGACTTGAACCGACAACACCCCTGTCACAGGGCAAAAATGAACTGATAAATAAAGCAAAATCTGGGCAAAATGAAATAGGCGTTTTTTTTGTTTGTTTTTTGTGGATCACACAGATTTTGGAAAAATTGTAAACGGCTTAACTTCCTTATGCGGTGTGGTGTTGTAAGCTTGCAGCTTGTGCTGTATGTAACCCTTCTTTTATTTGAAAAGGTTGATTGTTATAATCGTTGCTTTTAGGAACTTCTACAGTAAATCATTGGAGTTACGCTGGAGAAGCCCTTTTTACTCCCGAGTTCTCAAAATTCTTGAACTTTCTTATATTTGCTGGTGCTCCGATCACAAGCTAAATTCATTTTTTATGCTTTCCCTGGGATAGAACTAGGCAGGGTAGTGCATAATCGTGGTGTCCCGTTTATGCATTAGGATCTCTGATAGGCTGATGACCTAGCCAGGATGGTAATGCATTTTTGGAAGAAAGATATATTTGCTTTCTAGATGTTTTGTAAAAACCATAGTTTGCATTCTGATTTAGATCTCATTTAGCATGTTGAAAAAAATACCATTTTGCTGCAACTTCAACCTTAATAGGAAAGAAATGTATCCCCACAGCATGATGCCACCAGGACCATGCTTCACCATGAGGATCCTGTTTATTCTAAAATCCAGTTAGTTATTTCTGAAAACCTTTCTTTTGCATTTTTATTATCTTTCCAAAATGGTTTCCTCTTGCCTCGGCACCAATAGAATAGACAATTAAGTGTTCGGATAGCTAGGTTTTGTAAACAGATTTGTTCTCAGTTCAAATGAGCTACAAAGTCTTGAATTTAGTAATGAAATGGTTTCTAAAGGGGAAAAAAAGGTTGGACTAGATTTTATTAAAGGGTATCAGTGTAAAGGGAGCTGGTTACAAGTTACTAGATTCCTGTTTCCACTTCAAACTTTTGCCCTGCTTCTTTATGCACCATAAAGCCTGAAAGAAACACTGAGTATTGTGTTCATCATGTCAGAAAAATGTAGTACTGCTCTTTAGTGCTACAAGTGCATGATTCATATAATATGATTAAAGCTCAGTTATTATACATGAGGAGGAAAATTACTACCTTTCCCAATGAAAGTTCCACAAATCTGCTTGGATAAGGAAATATTTAATTAACTTTCTACTTATTGATAAAACTCTGCTGCTACAAATTTCTTGAAAAGAGTTTTGATTTAAGAGCAGTTCTTAAAGACCTTTTGCGAGGTTGATCATGTAATCCTCATGCAGTGAAACGTCATGGATTGTCTGCTTCTGTCCCTGCAGGTCTGTGGTGATGCCCATTGCCCAGGAGTTCTCTCCAGATGTGGTTCTGGTGTCGGCTGGGTTCGACGCCGCTGAGGGAAACCCTGCTCCGCTGGGAGGCTACAAAGTCTCTGCCAAATGTAAGCATAGTTCTCTATCACAGGTCTTACTTTTACTTCAAAACATAGTTAAATCAACTTAGTATTTTTGCAACCTTCGGGACGAAACTGATACTTCCTGTCAAGTCTGGATGCAGCAGCAGAATCGTATTTTATTGTTTTGTAGTTATTTTTTAGCAGCTTTGTTGGTTTTCCATCCTTTTTAAAGCATATATTTTAAAACAAACTGAGAAACTGGTACTATTTACTAAACGAGTCACTGCTAAACATAAAAGCACTGAGCAGGGTGTACTTTCTACGAAGATCCAAAGGAGTAAAACAAGTTCATAGCAGCTGTTACAGTTTGAATACGATTTTTGTAAGTCTTTGTTTTGCATATGCTTTGTTTTGCATATTTTTTAAGCTTTATGATGAGACGTTGTTTATATGAATATTTTTATAGGTTTTGGCTTCCTGACCCGTCAGCTCATGTCTCTTGCTGGAGGCCGTCTAATTTTGTCCCTTGAGGGAGGTCATGACCTCACAGCTATCTGTGACGCTTCTGAAGCCTGTGTCAGTGCTTTGCTGGGCATACAGGTAAGGCATTCTGGGTAATGGAGTTCTTTAACAAATATTTGCTTCTAAAACATATTAAGTTAAAGTTTCTATTGCTAAACTTAATGCTATACACTAAAAGGTGTTTATTTTTTTTTGCCTTGGCCCTGTCTCCTGCAGGAAACGATGCCAGAGGAAATTCTGCTTCAGAAACCCAACGCCAACGCAGTGCGTTCCCTGCAGACTGTCATAGAGATACAGAGTAAGCAGAAAAAAAGCACTTGAACTCATCCTCTCTCTGCCTTATTCGTGCACTCGCAATTACCAGCTGCCGTTTAGGATATACAGCAGAGCTCCTTTTTGATCTGTGGGATGAATTAGCACTGATGAGATTTGTGTGTGTGCCGCAGGTCAGTTCTGGCAGAGCGTGAAGTCCCAGAGTGGATTGGTGGGCCTGTCGTACATGGCCGCTCAGAGTAAAGACTGCGAGGAAACAGATGCTGTAAACGCTTTGGCCTCTCTCTCAGTGGGAGTTATAACCAACAAAAGGTACAGCTTCTCTACCTCATGAACCCAACATGCATACAGCTTCATGGTAATAACACGCGTCACCTTCCTCCAGGACCCTGGACGAGCCAATGGATGATGACAGCGACTCCATGTAGGAGGACCTATAGAAGTCCCCTTTTCAGAAGTGATCCTCATCAGACAGGATGTCCTGACGCTGTCATTTATTTTGCAATGCCACTGAGCCCCCCCCACCCCCCACCAGTTAGCCTTCCTCACTCCAGTCCACAAGCCGCCACACGATGCCGAACCTCAAACCTGGGAACCACTTGTAGCACTACCAGCAGCTGAGAAACCTCGGGAACCTCACCAAAGAGCAATACAAGTCCACTCTAACAGACTCCTCATCTCTTCTTACTGACATCCATGCAAACAAACTTATGATGGAAGAACATAGAGAGGCGCACGGAGATCCTTGAAGCACTGTGCACCAGCAGCTGATTTAATGCCTTAACTTCCTGTCGTTGTAAAGCCCACCATCAGGTTTCATGGCGAGGAGACTTTGACTGATAAACTCTGCTCCTCTGCCGCTTCGCCTCAGGTGTCCGGGCTGAAGCAAAAGCTGACCAAACAGGATACTAAACATACCTACTGTGTGACATCAGGCGAAAGCTCATATGGTCGACGGATAAACACGCAATAATATGACAAAGAAGGAAGAATAGAACAATGAGAAGTAGAGACAGTTTAACCACTAGACCATGACAGTAAAGAACTCAAGGAGAGGAGTGAATGAAGACACAACATGGACAACTGTGGTTTTTCTTTTTTTTTTTTAAAAGGACAATAGTCCTTTGTTGTTTTATTGCACTGTTCATTCCTTAATGTGAACCATAAGAAATTCCAAAGCTCTGGGATCACACAATTCCTCTTTGTAGTTTATTTTTTCCAAGATCCGGATAAAATAGTGTTCGTTATGTTTTTCCGACTCTCATTTTGTTTCCTACTCAGTCTTTCAGTGCCGACCGAAATACTGTAGAGTTGTATTTTCTGCGAGCTAAACCATAACAGTAGGCGAGATTATTTTTTTCCCACTGCTGTTCAGTGTCTTATTCTGTCTTGCATAGAGACATAAAACTCATTCCGACGTGTACAAATCAAAGATGAACTATTATTGTACCACTAGTATTGAATGCTATATGTTAATGTTTATTTTTAAAGACTAAAGGCGTGATCATTCCACCCTGGCACCACTGAAGACCATCGTATTGTTCTACGCACGCAGTACTGTTGATGCACTTAACACGACTAGAGATGCACCAATCAGATTTCTGTGGCTAAAGTCCGATCTCTTTTCTAAAGCTCTCTTCTTCTTTAGCTTAATAACGATAATTTGAATATTTCTCATTAATATTAAGGCAAACTCATCTAACATGACACCTAAAAATTCACAAAAGCATACAAACGAGAAAATTAAAAGTAAAGTCTCAAAAACAGGCTTATTTATAAAGAATAATGACATGCAATAAGAAGACATAGACTTTATTAGTTAGAAAGGATCCCTGCTTTATGTCAAACTTCTGCAGGTTAACAGGTTTCGTTTTATTTTCCATAACCAGTTTTTTTCCATTCATAGTACCAAAATCTCTTTTAACAAGTATAAATAAAACTTAGTTGGTAGGAAGATTTTAAAGTCAATGAAATTAGTTCATTAGCACCACCATAGTTGTAGTAATTTTAAGAGCTTCCAATTATTTCCAGATTGGGATTAAGATGTTGCTGCAGGAATATCTTCTAAAAAAAATTTATATATTTATTATACAAAATTATATGCAAAAATTCAGTGCTTATTAAACAAAACCTGAATTAGGAAGCCTGGGACTGCTTCAGTTAGCATACAGATAGGATTTTGATTGATTGATGAATACTACACACTTTAGCCTTAGGATAATCCAGCCTGTAATAAAAAATGCTTGTTTTGAGTATGGGTTGAGCACTGGTGTAGTGAGTAGCACTGCTGCCTTGCAGCAAGAAGGTTCTGGGTTCGATTCCTATTCCCTTTCTGCATGGAGTTTGCATGTTCTCCATGAGCATGCATGAGTTCTCTTCCTCCCACAGTCCAAAAACATGACTGTTAGGTTGAATCTCTAACTTCTCCGTGTGAATGGTTGTTTGTCTCTGTTTTGCTCTGTGATGAACTAGCGACCTGTCCAGGGTGTACCCTGCCTCTTGCCCGTAGACAGCTGGAGATAGGCATCAGCACACCTTAGGATAAGCATGATGGAAAATGAATGGATTGATGTTTTAAACTTTATGGCTGCAATATTATAAAGATGACATCACACTGGCCAGAGATAGAAAGAGAGAAAGCTCTCAGAAAAATATAGGGTTTTACTATTTTAAGGCAAAGGAGAAAAAAAATTCCATAAACACTGATATTAAGCTGTATTTAGCATCATGTATTAAACATCAGCCATTGCTAAAACATCTGTTAGCAGAGAGCCTAGAGCTTTTAGTGCTTCTAATTTCCTCAATTTCCAACAGCTCAGTGGAGGTTTGTAACTTTAGGGTTTCTTATCTGTTCCTGGAAGCCGCGGTGGGTCGATTTAGCTGAAATTAAGACCATTGCGGTCACAAGCTGATTCCTTGGTGCATCTCTAAACACGACCCAAAGAAAATCTGCCTTAAAGCAACTTAATCCTTGCAAAGGGACTACTTCACGTATGCAGTCTTTTCTAAACTGTTCACTGTTGAATACAATGACTCAGTCTGTCCGGAATGTGTTTTTTTTTTTTTTTTTTTTTTTTACATATTTTGAACAATGAGTCCAGTTTTAATTAAAGAAACAGGTTTTGTTTGTTAAAGAGACAAACTGTGGAATTACCGTACCCATGTAAGAATCTTTCAAAGTGCTCTACGGTTGAACACAGAGGCTGATGCGATTCGGGCATCCTACGCTTCCGTTCAGTACTCTGCATTCCAGACCTAAAGAAACAAGATTGTGTTTTTTTTTTGTTTTCTGTTGTCTGTTAAAATGGAGAAAATTAGTTCTCTGCATCCTATGTAAGACAGGGGCTGGATGAAAAGTACCTATGTTGTTTTAGACGAGAGCTGAGGTTGGCTGAGAGTCATTTCTAGAATGGTTCAAACTTCTAAAAGCGTAAGCTTCTAGACGATAAACTCCTAAATCTCAAACTAAAACAAATCTGGCTGGATAGTTTTCTTTTCTCTTTGAAATTCAAATCTTTTAAGCCTCGAAATTTGACAGTATAGTCAAAACTCCTGTGTTTTAGCGACAGAAGAGATTGCACAGAAGGAAATATCAGTCTGAATCTTTGCCAGCCTTTTTTGTAATCAAACTCTGCAGATCATCTTCCAGCAGAATCCTTTTTTCCCCTTAAACAAGGGCAGTGTTTCCACATGTTGTGGATCTCAGCGCTGGGAAGTTTGCGCTTTTTTTGCAGAACCAAGACGTGTCTTTGCATACAGCCCCACGGCTCTATAATAGCAGCCTTTCTGGAGTTTATCCCTAATTTTCACAGCAGGAGATGTCAGCAGTGAAACAGAACGCTGAATAAGTCTCATCTAGCACGGCCAGCAGCTGCTTGTCGTCTAGTAGGTAAATGTCGACCTGCGTGATGCATTCAAGCAGGGCTTGTTTGGTGATTGCATGTGCACTCCTGTCATGTGTTTTGTGCATGCGTTTCCAAGTATTAAAATGTCTGAGTGTGTCCGTCAAATACTGTAAATGACCTCTGTATTATAGTCTTCTCATATTTGTCTTATCAAGAGGTCAGTTCTGCCTCAGTTCTTAATTCCTTTCCTTACTGATGTAATTTGTACATTCTTCTTAAAGAAAGAGGTTGTAAATAGATACCCGGAGACCAAAATACACGTCACACGTGTGCCTTGATGCATTCAGTAGCATGTGTATTGGTAGTTTTTAACTAACTGGACTTACAGTAACTTTGTATCTGAAAACATGACATTGAAATCTCGGTTTCATTCTTACCTAACTTGTATTTTCATTCACGTTTCCTACCATGTGTATGTATAGAAAGATTGTCTATTTTGTACTTTTTTGCCTTTTTCTTCTTGATTAAAAGAAAAAAAATCTCTGCTCTAAAGCTTCTGTCTTTCCTGTAAAGATGTTTGTTATATTTGGTGTATGGATTTATTTGGTGCTCCAAACCAGAGTGTTTTTTTTAAATTGGGTTTTAGAAAATACAAATTCTCATTTACATCCTTTTAACTTTTTCGAATGTTTTCATTTTACAACTTGACATATTTTCTATTGGCAGACTACTGTATGTGAAAGCCAAGCAGAAAGTGGTTTTATTGCAGAACAGAATGAATAGATGGTTTAAGATCTTTAATGCAGAAATGTTTTTAAAAAATGTTCAAATTGGAGCATGGTAATTAGTTGAGCCCCTTCTGTTCAGATAATGATAATAAAAACTTCAAAGATTTCCCCTCCGTTCCCCCAATTAGTTGCTATTGTTTAACCAAAATTCAGTATACAGTAGCAGCCATTCAAAATAGCCCTTCCCAGTTAAATGCCAGCCGAATGGCAGCCCACTTCCCTGCAACTGCCAGCAAAATCCCCTCCAACTTCCAGCCACCGCAGTAACCCCTGTTTTTACTCTGACTCCACATTTTAACTGAATTACAGGGTCTGATCAGGATATGACGCTTCTCTTTATATATTAATGTCCACAAATCATGACAGAAAGAATATTTCAGTACAAATATTGATGTTTAAAGAGGAATTATCAGGAACCAGATAAGGACCAGCCAAGGGCCCATCCAGGAAAGTGTGGAAATTTTGAATAGCTTCTACTGTAAATGCCTACCTGCAGCCATGAGGCCCACTGACTGACTACAAAATGACTGAAACTTGATGCTAACTCGGAGACCTTGATTTTTCATGTCCTTTTGGTCACATTATTTCCAGCCTTTTCTATGCCTGGCACTGTTTTTGTACACTCCTGTTTCAGGAGTTTATTTTTTAAACAATTCTGTTGAAGTATGGTTAAAAAACAATGTTATTTATTATTACTTTTGTCAGATTCAAGTTATTTCTGAGGACCATTTTGAGTTTTTTCTCTATTCAAAGGAGGGATACCAAAAAAAATTTCCACATGTGTATTAGTGATGCTCTCCACAAATCTGGCCATTATGGTAGATTGATCTACCATAATTATCTACCACACAGACATGTGGCGTATTGTTCTCTTGTCAAATCTACATAACAAACCCTATAAGTCAGGGGTGTCAAACCGTTTCCAGAAAGGGCCGTGTGGCTGCAGGTTTTCTTTCCAACCAAGCATTGAACAATGTGCTCTCACCCAAATCAATCAAGGGAGTCCAATCTGAACATGATGACTTGATGAGATGACTGGAGTCTGGTGTGCTACTGCTTGGTTGGAAAGAAAACTTGCAGCCACACGGCCCTTTCTGGAACCGGTTTGACACCTGTGCTATAAGTGATAGAAATATATGACTGCACACCATCTTTAAAACATCGTAAGGGTGACATATCAAGCTGTTCTTTAGCTGGTCAGAGTTGATGGTAGATGGTGAAATAAATCAACCTAAATTAAGAAGCAGAGATTCAACTTTGTTTAGTCTTCTTAGTCAAGAGGTTGAGCTACATTGCTTCATGTAAATGACTTGTAACAAGTCTTTCCATGACTCAATCCGTCCGACGTAGCCCAAGTTATTTCAGAAAAAGGTGTTAGTCTGTAGATGAATAAAGCTGCTGTGTAACATATGTTTGGTCTACGCAGTGTTGACTCATTGGGGGCTAATATAAATAGATGTTTTTAGATTTTATTTGGACAAGAAATACATGCAGTGTATCGTTTTCATTTGACTTAAAAATAACACAGTACTTTGTGTTGCTGTGTCACATTAACTCCTAATAACATCTGTAAGGCTACATCCACTTAAAGACAAAACAAATACAGTAAATTCAGAAACCTTCAGTGTAAGCCGGAGCCAGTGCTGTAAAATGTGTGGTTGCATCCCACACATGGGCTTCATGCAACACATGATGAATCTAAATAAGTAATTTTTCTTAAAATAATTGCATTTTTCTTGAGTTGAGGAGGCAAGTGACTGAGACACTTTGCCAATGGAACAAGACAATTTACATTTTAAACAAGAAAAAATTATTGCGTTGTCTTATTTGGAGTGCATATTGTCATAAAAATGCTCATTCCATTGGCAGATCATCTTATTTACCTTTTCAAAACAAGGCTAGATACCCTTAATTTAACATTTTTTTACTAATTTCTAGATCGTTTTTTCAGAGTGTGGTTCAAACAAAGTTTAACGTATTTGTTTAGGCCTGAGCTTGTCTGCGTGTGGATGGGGCCTAAATTTGCATTCAAAGAGCGTGAAAAGGCTTCTATTTCCTAATCTTTGAGTTATTATTTTGAGAAAAAGAAAATGATAGTTTGTTAAAAAGCATAATTGAGGAGAATTTCAAATGCATGGAGAGGGAAATGTAAGGGGAAGAGAGAAGACGGATGTAGAAAATGTTGAAGGCAGGAGAAGAGGATAAGAATAGAGAAGAATATATAGATGATAACAGTTAAGGAGTCTGCTGCTACAACTATGGAGAAGGAGAAAGAAGAAGAAAAAGAGGAAAAATTAAAAGTATGAATGGTACAAACAAAAAATGCATCTATAACAACAGAATTACTGAAACATATTGGTGAAGTTATGATTCCACTCATATATGTGCACGATTTCTACATAATATTGCCAAATGGTGGTAAGAAGCCAAATAAAGCCCCCCTACCTACCTCTGGGCATTAGAAATATTTCCCACCAGCTTAGGTGGGAAAATCTGTTAACAGAAGATCAATAAATTGCACATTCCACAATCCAGCCTTTATGGAAAAGTGGATGAAGAAAGTCGTAACAAGAAAGCAATAAAAAGTCCTGTTAGCTATTACAGCAAGCCACACTGTGGTCATATCAACCTGAGCATAACCTTTCTAGCTAAAATTAGTCAATTACCTGAAAAAATGCGCTATGAAGAGTAAAACGTTTCTTTGTCTATGTTGTCAGGCATTTTTGATAACTTCCTGAAGTCTCCTGATTAA